GTGCTACGGGTGCATAAGTTTCTTCGAAATCAATGCCTTCTTCTTGATTGTAGCCTTTAGCTACGAGCCTAGCTTTGTTTCTAGTGATTATTCCATTTTCATCAAGTTTGTTACGGAACACCCATTTCGTACCAATAATCGTACGATCATCGGGTCTTGGCACCAATTCCCAAACGTCATTCCGTTTGAATTGGTTTAGCTCCTCTTGCATAGCCAAGGTCCAATGTTCATCGTTTATTGCTTTGAAAATGGTTGTATGTTCAATTTGAGAAACAAAAGCCATGTGTCCTACGGTGTCCCTAAGTGAGTTTCGAGTACTTACCCCGCGGTTGATGCTACCGATTACCTGGTCAAGCGGATGGTTCTTGTTCGTTCTCCATGCAATGGGAAGCTCGGTTGCTTCTTCTTCGTGTTCCTCTTGTTCTTCTTCTTCCTCCTGATTTTCTTCTTCACATTGGTTTGTCGCTTGAGGCATCTCCCCAATTTGTGGCTGCGTGTTGGTGTATATTCCCGTGTTCTCTTCATCGTCTTCGACGTGTATCCTCTCTAGTGAATCTACAAGATCATCACAAATATCCTCTCTCGCGAAGCGAGGATTATCTTCGGAAAATACAGCGTGAGGGGACTCCTCAATAGTCAAGGTGCGTTTATTAAAGACTCTATAGGCCTTTCTACGGAGTGAATAACCTAGGAAAATTCCTTCATCCGACTTGGCATCAAATTTGCCCAAATTGTCTTTGCCGTTGTTATGAATAAAACATTTGCAACCAAAGACTCGAAGATGGGAAAGGTTTGGCTTTCTCCCTTTGTATAGTTTATAAGGCGTTTTCATGAGTATCGGTCGAATGACGGCTCGGTTTAATACGTAGCTCGCGGTACTCACGGCATCCGCCCAAAAATACTTAGGGATTTTTGCCTCATTGATCATAGTTCTAGCCATCTCTTCGAGACATCTATTTTTACGTTCCACCACTCCATTTTGTTGTGGTGTACGTGGGGCTGAGAAATTATGATCAATGCCGAGTTCGTCACATAAATCTGAGAATAGATTTCGTTCGAACTCTCCCCCATGATCGCTTCTTATGGCTACTATGGTTGTTTCTTTTTCGTTTTGAACTTTCTTTAGAAAATTTTTGAAAACGTGAAATGCCTCACTTTTGTGAGTTAGAAACAAGGTCCATGTAAACCTAGAGTAGTCATCGACAATAAAAAATGCAAAGTAATTACCACCAAAACTTTTCGTTCTAGAAGGACCAAAGAGATCCATGTGCAAAAGTTGAAGCGGTCTAGACGTTGAAACAACGTTCTTGGACTTAAACGAAGCCCGAACTTCCTTCCCCTTTTGACATGCATCACATATGGTGTCTTTTTCAAACTTAAGTTTTAGAATGCCAATTACTAAGTCTTGTGAAACCAATTTGTTCAAAAGGTTCATGTTCAAATGAGCTACCCTTTGGTGCCATAACCAAGTGTCTTCCTCTTTACTCATGAGACACTTAGCAAAGCCGGAAGGAGATTTGTCTAAGTTAACCATATATATGTTATCGATTCTATCACCACGTAGAATGACCTTATTGTCACTAAGGCGTTCTACCGTGCATGATTTTGAATCGAAGGTCACACGGTTTCCCTTGTCACATATTTGACTTATGCTCAAGAGATTGTGTTTAAGACCTTTAACTAGCAAGACATTATCTATAGAAGAGTCTTCGGACATACCTACCGAACTGATGCCGATAATTTTTCCCTTGCTATTATCTCCAAAGACTACGTTTCCTCCTTTAGCGGGTTTGATTTGTAGGAACTTGGATGCATCTCCGGTCATGTGCTTGGAGCATCCGCTATCAAGGTACCAAAGTACACTTGATGCCTTCAAGCACAGCTACAAAAATGATTTAATAAGATTTAGGTACCCAAGTCTTTTTGGGTCCTTGAGTGTTAGGTGCAAAGTGGTGGTGTGATTCATTTTGTGCCCAATGCCTATGCCTAGTAAAGCAAATGGGAGCTATATGTCCTACCCTATTGCAATAGTGGCAAACTACGTTTGGGTTGTGCATCCTCCTAGGTTGATAATAGTTGCTAGGGGACCTAACCATATTCATCCTATTTTGGGAAAATATTGGTTTTTGAAAATTCTCTCTTCTAGGTGTTCTAGCATTATTTTGTCTATTTGAAAAATTATTTTTATGCACAAATTCATTTTGATAGTTTTTCCTAGGTGATATGCACATATTTTATACACTTTTTAGACATATTTTGAAGGAGTTTTGAGTCCCAATTGAATTTAATATTTATATTTTATTTCAATTTTCCGTTTTATTTTGGGAAAGCAGTCCTATGCTTGGTTTTATATGCTTTGCAAATTTCAAGAACGAAAAATAAACATGGAAGTTTGGGACCAAAATAAATGGAAGAGATTTGAAGGAAGAAAGGAATTAAACAAAAATAAAGCATAACAGCCCTGGGATTCGAACTCTGGACGTGAGCATGTGGAACCGGAGCTCTAACCATCACGCCAAAGCAGATTATTCAGCATATTACTGGCGGACACGGAATATGTTCTTAGTTTAAATTCGGCCATGAATTGAGAGAAAAATGACAAAACACTGACACTGGATGGGGAATCAAACACGGGATCAAGTGGCGAGACAAACAGCCTCAATTCCATGTGCACTACTGTAGCTTTGTTGACATTTTTGGGACTGTTCGTATATACTCCGTATATACGAATTTATCTATAAAATCCACTTCCTTCTCTTCTTCTAGGAGGTTGGAACCCCCATTTTCTCCCCTCTCTCCATTTCGAAATTCTCTTCCTCCCTCACTAATATCTCACCACTTTCTTCATCTAAACACATAAAAATTACTCCATCTTCATCATCATCTATTATATTTGGAGCTCAAGAACACACCTTCCATTTTGTAAGATTTTTATGTTTGTAATAAATATATATTTGTTTAAGCTTCAAACTATGAACTTCTATATTCCATTGGGGTTAGAAGTTGGTGTAATTAATTGTCCATCTTAATGTTTTAAATACTTTTAACATGGATTGTTGATTTTATTTTTTTACTTGGATGTTGTATTTAAAAATAAATAAATTTGGAATGTTTGTGATTATTAAGGGCCCAATCATAAACATAATTGTTACAAGGAATATGAGTTGAAATTGATATAATCATAAAATAGAACACTTTTTAATTACACCGTAAGCCTTCTCTACCTTTAACCGGGATTGAAGACTTTTGGGTGGACATAATTATTGAGCTGTATTTTTACACCATTAAATTGGGTAAACATACAATAAAATAATTATGGTTGCCTTTGTTACTAAATAATCACTCCGGATTTATCATTAGCGTGTTAAAGTCGGAGTAATTATTATTTAGGTGAACTGCGAGAGCGTCCCTAAATACTTTTCTGCAACCCCACACATTCTATATAAAAATAAATTGACAATCCAACTTTTATAAAAACATTGGACAATTAATTTACCAATTTCTACCCCTAACTTTTCATCATCAAAAACTTTGTGTTGTTTGGAACTCTCTCTTTTTTACACTTTTTATTTTATCTCTAAAACCAAAAAGACAAAAAACATATTTTACAACTTCTTTTGTAAACTTTTGTCAAAATTAAATTAACTCACGTCTCCCTGAGGTTCGACACCCTACCTACAAGGGTTCTTTTTAGTTGTTAGTTTTGCCCGTTCTATACTGCAAATCACTAGGTTGTCTGACATGCACATTTTCATTCCTAGGTTTTTGTCTAGGTTGTCTAGTGTCCTTAGATTGACTAGATTTTCTATTATCCTGATTTTTACCTTTCTTATGTTGAGCCTTAGGAGGTTGTCTAGGTATTTGCTCAACGTTTTTATCCTTAGATTCATTTTTATCAAAACCTATTCCTTCCTTAGAAAAATGCATAGTGTCAAGGAGTAAGTTAAGATCTTTCTGTGGTGTATTGAATTTCTTAACCGTACTCTCAAGTTTTGCAACCTTTTCTTTTAAAGCTTTGCAAGATTCACATTCGCTTGAAGAGCTTTCTGGTTTGTCAGCGCTTCTTTTGCCATAAAATTTATTTTCTTGTTTCAACTTTTCTTTATCTTTTTCTAGTTTTTCAAAATCATTTTCAAGAGTTTAAAGACGTTTGTTCAATGATTTGTTGGTTTTAGAAGCGCTAACAAATTCATCATAAAGCTCTCGAAGTGCTTCTTGCATCTCTTCAAAAGTGTAAGAGTCGGAAGAAGGGGTACATACCTCTTGTACTTCGTCGGCGTGGTCTTCGTGTGCCATGAGACAAAGGTTGGCGGCTTCTTCCTCTTCTTGGTCAGTTGACTCGTCGCCGGAGTCGCCACCCCATGAGATATAGGCACGTTGCTTTTTGAATCCAGGTTTGTCCTTGCCGCTTTTGCCTTTTGGACACCTCGGCTTGATGTGGCCTATCTCGCCACAGCCATAGCACTTCGGGGGACCGCCGTTCTTTCTTCCTTTCCATTCAAATTCCTTCTTCATGAATTTGTGAAATTTCTTGATGACGAGTCCGAACTCGTTGTCGTCATCGCTTGAGACTTCTTCCACGGTCTCCTTGGTTGCTTTGAGCGCTATTCCTTTCTTCTTTTGTTCATCCAAAGACGGGGTTAGAATAGTAGATTCATAAGTTTTGACGTTACCTCTTACCTCCGATGGATTCGTAGATTGCGTCAGCCTTTGATCTCCATTCGGGTGTGAGACTCCGCAGAATTTTCCTCACGAAATCCTTGTTGGCGTAAGTCTTCTTGAGGGCATGAAGGTCGTTGATGATCTTGGAGAACCGATCGAACATGTCATCGATCTTTTCGCCTTTCTTCATCCTAAACATCTCGTACTCTTGTGTTAGGAAGTCAATTTTGGCTTCCCGAACTTGGTTCGTACCTTCGTATGTGACCTCCAGCTTGTCCCACATTTCTTTGGCGGTGGTGCAGCAAGAGATCTTGCGATAATCATCGGGGTTGACCGCGCAGTACAACATGTTGATTGCCTTGGCGTAGTTCTCCACCTTTTTGATGTATTCGGCATCAAATTCGTCCTCGGTCTTTGGGACGAGTTTTTCACCGACCTTCTTCATTGGCGTTTCTTCTCTGTTTTTGATAACCAACCACAACTTGAAGTTGGTTGAGCGGATATAAATTCTCATCCGCTCTTTCCAATAAGTGTAGTTGGTGCCATCAAAGAGCGGTGGCCTGGAAGTTGATTGACCTTCTCCGATCCCTGCATAAAGATTTCTAAAAGAAGAACCCATGATCGCTTTACTCTCAAACGGTTAAGTTTGGACGCGAGTTAGGCTCTGATACCAATTGTTAGAATAATAGACCAACGCTAGAGGGGGGTGAATAGCGTTTGATCGTAGAAATCGCAGGAATTAAAAAATTCAAAAGAGAAGTAAAGAGAAGAGTAAGAGGCCCACCGAATTTTACCCTGGTTCACCACAACTTGTGGCTAATCCAGCCTCCCGAGAGACTCTCTCGAGCTACACTACTATCTTGTTAAGCTTAACGGTGCTTAACAAACCCTTACAACTTGAAAATTCGAGTCACACGAACCTCAACGAATCCTTCAAAGGAAACAACCCTTCCTTTGAATCAAACGAGAGAAATACTTTCTCTCTACGTGTTTAAGAACACAAATACACTCAAGAACGAGACTCTCTTTTAGAGTAGATATTGAGTATACTAAGTACGCTCAAGAACAACTCAAACTTCACACGAATTGGCTCTAAAAAGCTATGGAAAAGGATGTTGTTTGAATGCAATGAAAGTAGGAGAATTGTAAAGTGAAAATGATGAGAAAAGCAGACCCAAACACCCCTTTTTATAGTGCCAAAATAGGCTCCAACGGACCAATACATTGAAGGGGTGATTGACATGATTTAGGGGATTGAATAAATTTGGGATCTGCAGGATATTGGCTTCCCATCGATGTTTAGACTCAACCATCGCTGATAAGCCAATTTTCTTTCAGTTTTGAAGCCAACGGTCACCTACCCATCGATGGGTACAAGCTTCCCATCGCTGGGTGGGAGGTTGACTTCCAAACAAGGAAAGAATCAACCTTAAATGACTTCCAACGGTCATGCCTTCCCATCGCTGGGTAAGGTCGTTCTGCCTTGTGTTGATGTTGGACCAAGGCTTTAACAGCGATGGGTAGAACTTCCCATCGCTGTTTGGCATGGTTTTGGAAGTTAGTGTGGCTAAGGGACCGCTAACCCATCGATGGAAAGATCTTCCCATCGCTGGGTGGGTGGTTAGCAAAAAACCCATGGTTTTTGCCTTAACCATGACCTAGCCAACCGATGCAAAAGCCGACCGAAAAATTCAAAGTTCTCCAAAATAAAAACCAAGTGTTCAAAACACTTATTTGATGAAATTGGCTAAGAAATCAAGTGAGACACTTTAAAAACCACGTCATTTGAGTAAAAACCACGGCTAGCCAAGTTTACGCCGTTTTACGTGGTTTTTGCCAAACGACCAAAAACGAAAGGTGGTTTTTAAGATGTTTTTGTTGGAGAACTTTTTTAGACATGCCAAAGAGTAAAAACCAATCATAAAATGTTGAAAGCCACTTGGTTGGTTCGGACGCCAAAAACTAATGCCGAAAACCGAATGCCGAACGCCGGTTTCTAAAAGCCGAATGCCGGATGGCTTGGTTTTTTTGGTTTGGGCGAACACCAAGTGTTTTTAATGTTTTAAACATGTTTTAAAAAACATTTTTATGATGCAAGAGATGCAATAAAAGAAGTTTAGCCTAAAGAGCCAAGGAGCAAAGGTTGGGTCGGTCTTGATCACAATTGTGACCGACTCAACGACACTAAGACTATGGTCTTTGTTCTTGGTCTTCTTTTAGCTCTTGTTCTCATCTTCGTTTTTAGCCTTGTATGTTCAATGTTTTATCTTGTTCACGCGGTTTGGCATTATCAAAACCTGTCATAAAAACGAACACGGCTTTAGTACGAAAACGTGACAAACCCGTGTTTCAACATGTCTAATATTCGGTTATCTCATTTGATCACCGGAATGGATAACCAAATTTTGAAGGGGCTGCAGACCTGGATGAGGGAGTCTTGTTTTGGTATCAAACGGGAATGACCGTATAAAGGAACATGAGAACCTGTGAATACTAAAGAAAGTAGTACTTACTGCCAGCACATCATAGTGTAGTGATGTGGCTCGATACAAATCAAAAGAACGTAATGAATAATGTAACTGGCAAGACGTGATGTACCAACGTACCCTGATCGACAAGATGAGACGAATGAAGCAGACTCGAAGGAAGTTTCGACATTGACACGTAGAAATGTGTATGGCCGTTAGTGGACGCACCATTGAATGGCCCCTGGCCGTTACAAAGTTTAGTCAGCAAGTATTAGTGACGCCGATAGTACTTGTGGTGACGTTAGTAGGATGCTCCACTTACTCTCGTTAGTATGACTCAGAGAATTATCGAGAAATAACTTTAATGAACCAAGAATGAATCAATTTAATCTAGACTATGCCGTCTGAAGATTTTAGGTTTACGACTCGTGAAGGGTGAACCTACTCCTAGATCGATGGATGCACTTAATGTCGAACACGTTACTATTAATGTTGTGTTACAATGTTGAATGCCACCTGAAACTTGTGATCGAATCCCTGAATGTGCTTCAAGAACGTGAAACTTTGATATCACCATGTGTAACGCCCCGAAAGTAGGCCTATCAGAATTAATTAATTGATAATTAATTAATTACTGAGAAGGACCCAAAAATAAGTGATTTATAAAGTTTGTCAATAAATAATGAAAATTATATCATTATGTAGAGTTTGACTGTCTGACCCCAACGGTTCAATCGGATTTCAATTTGGAGAAAGTTGGACCAAAAAGTGTACTCCGACTGGGACCAAATATTAGTCCCAATCAGGGACAACACACCAAACGGCGCCCTGTGCAATCACCGCCGATTCCAAAAAACGCATAGGCAATCAGGAAGCCCACTCCCTTGGCTTCTTCTCCTTCCCTTCACTATATAAGACGGCCTTTCATGCTCCATTCTTCACCATTCTACTCCATTTTTCTTCCCAAGTGTTCCTGAGAGTGTGAGGAGGGTTGTAGTGCTGCCATTTTGGTGTGAAGTCGCCGGAACAGAGAGTTATCGTCGCCGGAAGTTTCGCCGTTCTTTTCGCCGGAATCATCGTTTATCATTAAAGTAAGCCCGTAGATATATCTAAAGATTAGAATATTCATATAGATCGTTTCTATGTTCATAAATGGTCATTTGGTTGAGTTTTGTGTTTGACATGCTTGAAGAACCAAGAATCATAAACCTTGAAATTGTTGTTAAAACTTCGAATTAATGGTATTTAAATGATCTATGAACATTGGATAACATTTCTATATACTTTAATTGAAGTTTGGTGACTAAAAATGATTTTTCGAAAATCTGACCCGAGGTTGAAGACGAAGTACTGTTGCTGTTATGCAGCAACGGTCGACCGTACCGTCACCACGGTCGACCGTTATCGGACCAGTAGCTTCAATACAATGGAGGCAACGACGGTTGACCGGTGCCTGAAACGGTCTACCGTTCCGAAGACAGACAGCTACGAAAAATGCTATTTTTGAGTTCTAAAATCCTATTTTTGATACCAATTGATAATGATCATTATAAAAATGATTTTTCACAATAAAAATGATGCTTTTAATAAATTAAAATCTTATGTGATGCATGACGGTAAGTTCGGGTGTTAACACTCGAGACTAGGCCGCTAATTGTTATTAAATGTTATGTTGAATGATGAATTATTATTGTGGCCAATTATGAATGATAAACATATTGATTAGTATGATTATTGATTAAATCATGATTAAAAATGGATATAATGATGATTATGAAAATGATGTATATTGTTAAGGATGTCTAGAAGAACCCTAAGATATACCCGCTTGTATAATGATGATGATTATTAAGGATATCTAGAAGAACTCTAAGATATACCTCCTTGACCAATTCATATTTTGGGGTTAAAACGTACGTACGGGATCCAGAACGGATATCACCCACCCGACAGTTCACTGTTCGGTTGGTACGTAATCCACATGACTCATAGGGTGGATTATCGATTCTTGTGTTCTGCATTAAACTATTTATAGTTTAAGGGCCTGGTTAGAAATGTTGCCTTAGACTAGGAATAGCTAAGAGCTTGTTATAAAATGATTTGGCCTTAGATTAAGAATAATTTAAGAGCACTGTTGAGATATTGAATATCAAATGACTTGGAATAAAATATTGAGAATATCATGAATGTTTGAATCATATATTGTGTGCATGATATCAAATGGTTGATTATGAATTGAGATTCAATTTATGTGGATGTTCGACGCTTTAGATATGCTTACTCAGCTTCACCGTTGAGCGTGTAGTGCGTTTTATTTGCTACACGAAGGTAGGTAGAATGAATGATTAGTTGATTCCTGGCAGCAGAAGGGGCGAGACAGTCGTGGTGGATTATTGAATGAAATAAATAATTATGTTGTTATGAGACATATTTTAAAGTCGCTTCCGCATTTTATTTAAACACTCCGTATTTCTCTACAATTATGTATGGAATATTATTTATTTATAAATAAAAATGTTTGAAATGTTTTAAATTATCACGATTACCAAATCAATACTTTAGTCCGAAAGGGGCTGCAGACCTGGACGGATTAGGGTGTTACA